GGAAGTATACAGAATCTCTTAGAAACTTCTGCAGAAAAGGCTAAGTCCCAGTAAGAAGTTATGTAGAAGATGGAGGCACTGTGCAGAAGTTGCTTCAGGAGAAATGTCATCTGAATATAAAACAACCTTTACTGTGAGAACAATTAAACATTGGAATAGGTTACCCAGGGAAATGGTAGCATGTATCTTACTGGAAATACTCAAGACTGTGTCACAGCACCCCTGGATAACCTGATCTAAGGCTTTACTTTGAACAGAACATCGTAGAAGGTCTCCAGAGGTCACTTGCAACCTAGACATTTTCAATGTATTATACAGTTCTATGAAATTCTGGAAAGTTGTAATGTATTTGAGTTTGATGTAGCCCTCCAGTCTCTTCAAAACTAAATCCTTCACCTGTAATTAGCTCATCTTACAAATACTTCAGCAATACTAAAATTTACTGTAACTTCATAATAAGGAGGAAATGCTTTGAAATGTTACTGTAGAGTATGCTATTAAATATTTTTCCACTGCTCAGCATGACAGTGACATGAATGAAGGAAGAAATAAAAATTGCTGCTGGTCTGGCAAATGGATGAGAATCAGCTTGTTTCTTCCTAAATCTGCCAAGATGGCTGCATATATGACCTTTCCATACCCTTACTGATGTAGGACTGTAAAACTGAGTAACATCATCTATTCTGGCATTTCGTGTTGAAGACCAACAGGTTGTCCTTAAAGATAGTAGGAGTGGGAACCCTTAGACACTAGACCTTAAAGATAGGCTGAGGCACATAATAGAATTTCTGAAAGCAGATGGATATCTTACTCCCAGAAATTATCAGGTATTTAGGTAATGTAGAAGTTTATATTGAAATGTATTTCTGAACTTTTAAATTCTTACCTTAAAAATGCAGCGAAAATCCCTTGCAGGCAGTAAGAATGACCCATAGAGAGCAGTGCCTAGGAGGTAGTGCTTAAGGGAGTGATCACACTCAAGCTAGTATAGATCCTAAAGAGTCACCTAAAGGTTCTGATAAGTCAATATTTTGAGTCTAAAATAAAAATCCCAGGCAGGAAAGGCTGAGTTGAACTCTTCAATGCAAATGGAAGTCTTGCCTTCAACTGTCTGCAGACCTGAGTTGATGGTAGTCTTTGAGCTGACTTTCAGGTGGTACAGGTTTTCACATAATACCAACTGAGCAACTTCTGCAAGAATTATCATTGAGTAATGTAAATGCCCCCTCCAGGTGCCCTCCAGGTTATTGTACAAGTTTTACATGATATGCTGCAGATCCCACTTTAGGATTTTGGACTTGAGGTTAGAGAAGGGGAAAAGAAAATGTCAGAAAAAGCTCATTGCAAATGAGTCTCATGAAATCTGAAATATCAACAATGCATCCACTATTCAGATTGATCTGGAAATTCAAAGGGATGCATATGGAAAGAGCATTTTATTCAACACAATTGTTTAGAAAAAACAAAGTTATTAGGAAAATTGGCAAGCTTGTCACCTCCACATTAAACCTGGAGAGATAAAGTTACTGAAAATCCATACTGAACAGGAGATATTAAGTCACAGCATTTAAAAAGGAGGTAAAAACAGTTCAGATACTAGTGAATGTCATTGAAGGTGACAGGAGAAAGAAATCAAAATACCTTCTCTGCTATCCATTATTAGAGAGGTTCAAGGGACAGAAGAATGTTCTTTGGAAAGGAAAAGCCATTTCACAATCAGTGCACTAAATTGCTCTCACCTTGTCTTGGATTGCACAATATACTCTGTATACCCTCAGGCTACACAAGCTTCCATGATCTGTTGTTGATCCATGTTTGAAAAATTCAGAGCTGTTTAGTTCATCAGTTACAAAACTGATGACAAGAAGTAGTCTTGGTTTGACAATTATCATTGACCAAGAGAGAAGGCATAGCTCTAATTTGGAGACACAACAGCATCACATGAGGGCATAATTTTGCCAGCTGTAGTTGCTAGCACCATTGTGAAGCTGCACAGTCTTTTGTATGATGTGAAGTCAAACTAGTAGTCCACGTTGCCTGCTATAGACTCTGTAATAATCATTATCTTCTGGCTGACCTGTTTCTAACTGAATATATCAAACCTGTGATTTAATATAGATATTTATATATATATTTATATATATATACACACACACACACAAGTGCCAGATTAATAACATCAATCAAAACATAAGCAGCAAGGGAAGCAGCAATCCTCATAGTTTTGAAGGCTACTCTTCACAGTCTGTTCAGGTATTTCAAGCAATAATAGCAGCAGATACCCCTCAGGCCTAGACACATGTGCAAAAGGCAATACTTGGTTGTTCAAATAATATACACATGTCATCACAAAATGCTTTGCATACTGCAATTTATTCTTAACGTACATGTATCTGTTATAAGACTCTCAGTCTTTCACTATTTAGTACTGACAATCCTCATAAATGATTTACAGACTAGGCAGCTCTGTTTCTGGTGGTGTAGCTCTTCAGTTGATTTCACATGATATTTTTGTAGTGACTAAGCCTTTAGTTCTCCTTCTAGTGATATTTACAGTGGAAAAACAAAGGTTATATTTCCAAAGAATTAGAAATAGGCAGTCTATGAGACTTTAAATAGGAATAGAAGCACTATTGGCATGAAATTGTGCATCTTCAGAAAGAGGTTGAAATTAGATTAGATTTTCACACTCAGCATGCAACAAAAAAGTTGCCTGAGCTCCGCCTCCCTGCAAGAACATGGCTTCAACTGCTATAAATCACTTTTATTGGATAAACCATTTCTATCTGACTACTTGAAATATAGCAAGAAGTAGTTTACTTTTTCACTGGATATCTGCACAAGCTACCATTAGAAATGTCTGCATCAGAGGTCTATGCTCTGTGATGGAGAAAAAAAACAGTGTAGACATCTACAGAAGACCAAGGACACTTACCTTATACTTCCCCCCAAAAGTGAGGCAGCCACATCTAAATTGCATAGTATGGATATAAGCTGCAGGATAATATGCATGCTTCTCATTTTGTAGCTGAATAGACAAAAATTGCCATGGCTGAATTTGTAATATATTTATTTGGTCCTTTTGTTATTTATTACCAAGAAAACAAACAAAAAGCAGTGCTTACTGAAGAATGCCAGTTACTGGCCAAAACTGCCTTAATGGTAAGTGCTCTAAAGTCCACTTTTCGGAAAACTCCACTTTATCCTTTGTGGAGACTGGGAAATAACATAAAGTCATTTCAAGATTATAAACTATTTCTGTTTACTAGTACTTTTTAAATATGCAAAAGACATTTTCTATTTAATTAGAGGACAGTTAGCTGCCTAGTAAAAAACTGTCATAGCAGTGACTCATGTAAGGAACAAATAGTTCCTAGAGCAGAGTTGTTTACAAGAGCAAGTTCAGCATCTCACATCTTTGGAATCCTCATTTGGAGTATTGGAGGAATAAGTCCCAAGATTGCTTTTTCTTCCTCCCTAGTCAATATAAAAGAACAACACACAAATTTTTGTGATTTAAAAGGAGCCTAAACTCTTCTAGCTTTCAGTCTGTCACCAAAACACAAACCACAACCTAGCTCTTTAGTAGGGCATTCCTATTCAGTAGTTTACCATAATCCAGATCTAAGGCACCATATGTTGGACACAGTCACAAAACAGAAGTAGCTCATAAATAATCTGCTGTTTAGCAGTTAAGAATTAAGTATCTGGATGCAAGATTGAAATAATCAGCCAGTATAAGGATATTCCAAATTACCATGGGTAAGTAAAAAAAATTTACTTTTAAATTTTTTATATTCACCCCTTTTTTGTGGCAGGGAGAGAGGAGAGTGTAGAATAGGGCAGGCAATTTTTTTCCCTGTTCAAGCCTTAATTTGGAAAAATTTAGTTTAGAGAAACTTAAATCTGATGCAGCCTCAGTCCAGCTTGATGAGTCCAGTTGCACTAAACTCATTTATTGATCAATAATGCAAGACAGACACTTGTAATCTTATATTGTTCCATCATACCTGCTTCAACTGACGCTATATACACCACCATAGTTTATGGTTCTTTAAGGTAGAGACTAAATCAGAGTAAACAGGTATTCAAACTAAGCTAGACAACCAGCAAGCATTTTTGGCCAGCTTGTAAGAGGTCCTGCTACCAGCATTTAGTGATCATCCTGAGAGTTATTTCAAAACTCCAGCATAGTTGGACTGTTAATTTTAGCTTGACCAGCTAATGGTTGTTTAGATGCTCAACAGAAATGCTGGTAAATATTTTCTTTCGCTCAAACACCCAGATAGTCAATTGGCTTTTTAGTTCTAATGGTATCTTTGAGTAAGTTACATGTTGCCATGCAGCCAAGTAAAAACATAAATCTGTGAATCTCTGTGAAGCACCGTAAGACCCACATTTCAATGAGTTGTTTTCAAACTCTTAACCATACAAATCAAATGGTATTAAAAATAAGCAAACAAGCACCCATTATATTATATACACATCTGTCTCCAGTACTAAAGACTAGCCTAAAATAGTAACTTTCCAATGGTTTTATTCTTTTTAGCCATCTGCATTTAAAGGAGTTGTAAAGTTTGTTGTGAACATGAGCTGTTTTCTAATTTAGTTTTCCCAGCATCGGTTTAGCCCTCCTGCAAAGTTGGAATAGACAAATTGAATTAATGAGACTTCTAAATGCAATGCAATTTAAGTACCCAGTTTCTATGGTCCTCCAGAAGCAAGCAAGAAGGCATCTGCAGTAGCTGCAAACTCAGGCTGAACAGCTAATGGAACAAGCTTCTAGTGACAGTTTACTATGTCAGCTGGGGATTTTACTTTTTACTGTGGGACAGCATTTGCTGAACAGGCCCGAGAGAAGAAGCTACATAAAGTCTTAAGACCTTGCTATCAGACAGATATAGTAAGAACCTGCGAGAACTTAGCAGTCTCTGAACTCCTAGTATCAACTAGATCACAAGATTGAATTATGGAGGACAGAATCAACAGCCACACTGATGTTTTGGTATGAAGAGTTGTTTCTGTTTAATATCATAAAGTAACATCACTTGAGATACTACAGTTTTATATAACAGTGTAACATCCATAAGTTTCTGCATTTCCAGTTTGAGACAAATACTTGAATTCATAGCTTTTTTGCATTACAGAAAGTGCAAGAGAGGTTCATATACAAGACTAGTTGCATGACTGGCTGAATTAGGTATTAAGTCTGTATTCAAGTTGACTTTCTCCACTCTCCAGCAACTGCTTCGGTATTGAACAATACTATTTCAAGTTTATACTTAGTATTAATAGAAAAACCTCTGACACATCAGCTGCCACCACTGACCAAGAATGTAGCTGTTACAGTGAGTTATAACCAACTGATTATAGATGTTAGTAAAGAGGTTCTTTAGAAAAGGTATGGTTTTCAAGAGATGAGGGACTACCTCACATTAATGGCACAGAGGTGGTATATCTGTTCACAAGGACTCTAGGCATGGAGTGAAGCCATGATTGTCTTTTTTGCTTTCTAACATACTGGAAACATGCCACACTGCACCATGTGACAACTCAAACCGAGCAACATCAGGACATTCACTGATATATATGCAAGAAGCCTGTCTGCTTATTCCATGTGTCTGCCAAGCCATTTTAACAGAAAAGTAGTCCTAGTAGATTTCCCTCCCTGAAAAAAAGCCATATTAGCACCAACAGTTAGTGTCTATGACTATCTCAATGTTCTGTATAAAGTGTTTCAGCTTATGTGACCGTACAGTGTAGACCTCTAGTACTCAGGAGTCCAGCAGTTCTGTTGGACCCCACAGGTATCCCCTTATTAAACATTTATGGCAGAATGATACTTTTACCATTAGTTAAATAGACAAGTATTGGATTTTTTCCCCTAACATACAGTTTAAACCTTCATGACTCAGAGACAAAGACATATGTCCAGTCACCAATTACAAGTGAGTAGTATCCACTTAACTATACAACTGGCTGCTGTTGTGATAACAGGCAAGTAACCTAGTTGGTTAAGTTGTGGAGTGTAACTACTAATTCAATTCCCTTATGTGAAGGCAATACTTCCTCAGGTACATTCAGTTCCCATATTTTAGGACAGTAAGTGCTACAGAAAGAGAAATTGTGGTGACAGTTTTTACAAGACACATGATTCAATACTGCTAAGCCCTTCTGTGAAGGATTACAGAGAACTAAAGTAAAATTAACATCCACCAATTTGAATCTGGGTCTCCAGCATAAGTCCAACTCTCCATTTGCTTTGCCCTGATTTATCGTCTTCACAGCATATTCTTTGAGGGTTTGTGTTTCAATCCACCTGGACTCATTTTAGATTACAGACATCATGGAACAGCAGCAAGATTGGCAAACAGCAAAGTGAAACATGTAGAAAAATCATGTTGAGAAGCGGTCCAGTTATTCCATTTGTCCTTCTTCTGGTTACACCTAGTATGATGAAAAGGACTTAGGGTTAGGATGGCTATAAATTATAGTTTTATTGTTTAAACTAGCTTAGAGTTACCGAGAACAAAGCTGACGCAATAAATAGCAACACTTGCCTTCTGTTAGAAGCCAGACAGTATTTTCAGGGGAAGACTTAGAGTTGTGGCAGAAGAATAGATTTGCTAGTTTGATAGTTCATATTGTCTAATCAGTAGCACAAAATTTTGAGTTACATCAGTTTCTAGTAACAAAAGCTCTCATAACAGCCCTTATTCTGTTTTCACTCCAGTTCACCCAGAGCACAAACCCACAATTATTTAGGGGATTAAATTTCAGAAAGCTGTATGGGGCCCTTTGTGCTAACACTCTCCTAAATAGGTATCTGAAGGAATTTAGTGAGCCCCTCTGAGTTTTGCAGCACATATTTACTGATTGACTTTCCTCAAGGAAAGGAAATCTAGATCTATTGAGGCCTTGAGACTTAAGTCCATAGAAAAATAAAATCTTTATTTCTAAGAAAGTGAAGATGGCTAGTCTTAGCCAGAATGCAACTATCTACAAGTCTAAGTAGAGGTACTCTAGCAGAAGTATTCTTCTAGGGACTGTTTGCCATACTTCAGAGGACCATTAGAGTTAAGCTAGTATAGTGTTTAGCCAGCTCTTTACCAAAGGTTTTCTGAATTAATTTCAGAGAATAAAGTAGGTTGTCTTATTAGTGGGTTACTTACCTGATCTATGCAAATAGGTTGCTAAAAGGATCACCAAAAGGATCAGAAGGTGGTTTCTGAGATGCCTTCTATGGAGAGATCACAGGCTGTTAGTGAATTTCCATGTTTCACCAGGTTTAATCTACATGGCTGTATGATCTAGTTCCTGTTCTGAACACCTTCTGGAAAGAATGCTGCAGAATCCCTGCTAAACACATATTAACTATACTCCTTTAACAAGAAAAATAGGGCTCTGAAGCCGTGTTAGCAGTTATGCTAGTCTGAGGCAAGGTATCTTTCAGAAAAGCCATGTGTGCTTTCTGAACACTCATTTGGAGCTGAGCCAGCATAGTCATGATGAGATCTATTTTAGTTAAGTGCTAGATATCTTAAGTCAGCATTCTGGAATTGGACCAGAGTTTCCAGCAGGGGCTCCAAGTGCTGTGTCACAAATTGAGTGATGTGGTTAAGCCACTTCCTTCAGGAGTTACTGAACATGGAAGGTTCCCATTTGTTCAGGAAGAGAGCTGCGGTCCACACTGCTCAGTCTACTGCACAGAAAGGTAAGTATAACCTAAGTGAAAGACTTCTGCAACTACATAATTTTAGTCTTTTGTAGAAACTCCCAATATTGAAGAACTTCCTGCTAGGTCTTGCAGTTTAGGAAACTGGTTATGGACCCAAGCCAAGTGGCATCATACTTTGTTATCCTTTTTGCAACAAATGCCCTCTGTTACATTAAGTATTAGCCTCAGACATGCAAAAAGTTTTGTTCCATGGCCTCTACAGCCAGAATTAGGCCAGTGGTCAGACACAGGCACCCCTGTGGTTGAGAGGAAAGAAAGGTCATGGATGTTTTTTTTTGTTTTGTTGTTTGGGTTTTTAGGTTTTTTTCACTACTTACAGATGAAGCACTGGAAAGGTCTGTTTTAACTTGACTATCAGGCAGGCCATCAGCTGGCAGCACTCTTTGTCGGGGAACAGGCTTTGGTGGTTCTAAGGAAGAGACACATACTGCTATAATCACTTAACAGCTTTAACAAGTACTCAACTCTGTGTATAGCAACACCAAAGCCCATCTAATTAGATACACAAAAAAATCCCACACGGAAGTTGCTTGGAGTGATCTCACAATTTTCTCGTGCTTGTCCCTCACTACATCTAAACTAGATGTAACACTATACAGACCTAGCTTATCTCATTTCTGGTCAAGCAGTTTAGGCACTAGGTGTCAGTGTTTGGCCACTGATAGTGATCAAGTCTGTAACATTATTGGGGAGACAGTCCTTCAACCCTGTTTCAGTAACTATTAAATCAAATTTTCAGTTATATCAGAAAAGACTAGTGATAAACCATCCCAATCCCTGACCAGCTATCCAAACAGAAGGAAAAGTGTTTTTACCAATCATTTTGGCAATCAGCTTGCTAGCTTCCATTCTATCATGATATGTACTATCTTGAGGAATGCCTACTTTACTAATAAAATAATTGCTAAAAGCTCCAGAAGCACCTGAAAGGTTTTGCTGTTCTCCTCTCCTTGCTGGTACTGCAGGTGGCTTTGTCAGCTGGAAGTCTTTGAACATTTCCTTGACATCCTTCGCTTCTTTATCACCAAGTGGATCCAGAGCAATAAAAGCATCACTCTCCTTCTTCGATAGCTCCTTCTGAGGTGCAGTTCTAGGTGGTGGCTGAGGTGGGCTAGTTGTTGTTGGCTTTGAGGGCAGTACAGATGACGTCTGAGCAGGTAGTGTTGAAGATGGAAACACGCTACTCTGGAAGGGACTTACAGCACTGGATGGCTGTGCCCATGAACTAGATGAAACTTGTGCTGGCAGTGCCCAGAGACCAGAAGGCTGAGGGGCTGCTGAACCAAAAGACACAGGCTGTTTCCAGCTTGGCACTGCTTGAGTACTAAAGGCAAGTGGAGCAGGCATCATAGACCGAGGAAAGACTGACGCAACCTGACTGAAGGCAGGTGTCTCTGAACTCCAGTGTGATGAAGTTATTGGCAAGCCACCTGGAGGGAGATTGTTGTTAGACAGCACTTCAGTAATCTGAAGACCTCAAGCAGGAGTATATATCAATTCAACTGAGAGTACCAAAAAATATTTTTCCTGTATTGTTTGCAAAAAATCTGTTGATTTACACTTTTAAAAAATCAAGTAATTTTGGGGGGAGGGGAGAAGGGGGTTAACAATTTTTATCTAGCTTCATTTTGATCCTAGAAGAACAGAATTGGATATAAAGAGGAGAAACATATTTAGTTCTAGTACAGAAGTGACAGATGCATTTGCCATATAGTTACTTTTGTGCAAATTTAGACTCTGCAGCAGTGTTATGCTAGCCTCCCAAGTTGTGCTTGGCTATCTAGGCCCTTGTGTACTTGAAGCAGCAATCAAGTTAAAGCAAAAAACCCTGTTCCAGTTGAGGATGCAGAGTTTAGGCTTCTCCTGATGAAAACTTCAGAGCAGATAGCACATGGATTGAAGAGCATGGCACTACACATGAAGTAAATGAAAACTAGAACCCTGTTTTAGTGTTAGCAGGTATCTTAGACTGGAGAAAGACCTTCACTTTGTGAACTAACCTAGACCAGCCAATGGAGGTGCTGTGGTGTGACTTGTTTTGAAGAGGCCCAGTGAGCTAGTTGGCACATGTCCTGTTTGTACCACTAAGGTCAAGTCGAGGCTCTCTGTAGTTGGCACAAATAAGTCTGAGCTAAGTAAGTAATTTGATGCAGCCTAGAAAGAGGAAAAAAAAGCTTTGTAAGATGGCATGGCAGAACACATTCTAGCATGATCAAGACTCCCTAGTCCAGAGACACAAGCTTTTATTTCAGGTAGAACAGTGCAGGAAGCTTTGCTATATCATTTAGAGATCAAGTATAAGAGTTTTAAACTTCACCATTTTGTTCAGCCTAGCGAGATACATGACATTAAGTCAGTATAATATATAGTAGTCAAAAGTCAACAGCAGAAGAATAAGACTTAAATTGACTGATTTGTTTGCTATCATATAAGCCTCCCTCTGTCCCCCACCCCTCTAAACATTCCTGCTCAGTCTGCAGTGACCCCTGCAGTTGTGGCAAGGTCAGCAACAAGGTTTTGCATCATTTGAGTGCAAGACAAATTGCAGCTGACCCAGAGCCACCTTGGGTGTCACTGAGATTGCCCTCAGCAGGCAGGTACTGAGAAACTACATAGGTTTCTGTAAGCTAGTACTAGTACCTCGTTGTTATGAGACCACAGGTTGATGGGCATACAGCTATCTTAACAGGTTCTGGCATTATATTATGTATCAATATACATAGCAGCATACTTACCAGACCTTTACAGAAGTATGGCAGCATTAAGGAAGAGAGTATATAATTTAGTGACCATAGTTACTGTGAAGCATTCATGAATGTTAGAATATACCATGGCTGCAGAGAGGTTAAAGCATGGAATGTAGAAGAGAAGGAGATGTGAAGCTATTTAGCCAGTTACACAGTATGAAGAAATAAAAGCTTCCTTCACCCAGATTCCTTAAGTAAAAGCATGCATATCACCATTAATTACTTGAACATTGTTCACCTTGACAGACCTCCTTCCTCTTCCTGGCTTGGTATTCTGTGGTGGTGGGCTAATTGTTATAGACTCACTTGACATGAGCTGGATATTGCTTTCAGAATCCAGCTTTACTCCATTCTGCAGAGATACTCCTTTGGAAGGACCTTCCACAGAGAGGCTTGACGGAGCTTTAAGAAAGCCATTCTGTTCTCTCTCCGGTACCCCATTTGGAGTTCTTGCTGCAGGTGACTTACTCTCAAGTGGCCACTGGCTTGTTAGTGCTTCTTGTTTGCCAGTTCTATGAGAAATCTGGTCAAACTGTTTACCAAAGTAGTCTATATCACCATTTGAAGCACCATTACCCACCGGTGTCAAGGTGCTCAGACTCTCCTTCTTCTGATCAGCAGATTTTAGAGAATCACATGAAGGTGGTGCCAATTGGTCTGGCTGTGCAAAAGGATCATCACTGAAAGGGTCTGGATTAGGTGTGGGAAAGAAGCTGAGATTGGTAGTGAAGGAACTCTCAGGCAAGAAGTGTGGCTGTGGCTTTGGTTGTGCAGGAGAGGTTGTGATGCCATTCAAGAAGAGATCCTCTTTTGTAAAAGTCTGTTTGGTCTCAATTTCAGAATTTAGATCCACTAACAGAATCTCTTTATCTTCCTATTTGTTCAGAAAGAAAAATAAAAGTTTTATGTAGGACTTGCTGCACAGTAGACAAGCTTAAGGAAAACAGCTGCAAAAGGAGAGATCCTAACATCCAACATTCTACACTAATAAGTATTCACTGTGACACTGAAGCTGCACTAATGCTTCATCTTAAAGTCATCAGTGCAAGCACTGCTGGCTGTGGTCAAATCACAGCTACTTAGTTTCAGAAACTCAATGTTAAACCGACCTCTTCTACGATCCCTTAGTTAAATATCAGATGCTTGTTCTACAGCTTAGAGACTGTAGTCATTAAGCACTAATTACACCTAGGCTTTCACTTGAGTCTAGAACCCCTGTTTGAGTTCTAGTCCTCTGTTTTAGCAGGTTGTGAAATCACACTGCCTTAGCATGAGTTCAAGTTGCGGTCTTAGCTTCAGAGCAAGACTGAAGAGCTATTTTCCAGTGGAAGATGTTAATGTGTCATCTCTCCACCAAGCAGGCAATAGAAGGGTACAACCTTTTCACTAGCTGGATTGACAGCACCAATTGTATCATGGCTGATGATAACTTCCAGTTCCAGAGTAAACTGGTAGGATCTTGAGGGGTCATACTGAGCTATGACAAAGTTTATGCACACTTTTGTGGAGTTAGGCCACATCTTGAGCTAGGTCTACTTACCCAGAATGGCCAAGAGACCACTCTGAGGGACTTACATAAGGATTCTTGAGGATTACTTGAGGCCCTGCATAGAGAAACAGGAACACCCTCATGTCCACAAGCCTTGGTCCTCATGGGGGACTTCACCCTGACATTTATTGGAGGGACAACACAGCAGGGCATAAACAATCTACGATGTTTCTGGAGTGCATTAATGGTAACTTCCTTCTCCAAGGGATAGAGGAGCCAATGAGGATAAGTGCTATGCTGGACCTTGTTCTCACCAACAAGGAGGGGCTGGTGGGGAGAGTGAAGCTCAAGAGCAGCCTTGGCTGCAGTGACTGTGAAATGGTGGAGTTCAAGTTCCTTTGGGCAGTGAGGAGGGAGCACAGTGAGCTTGTTACCCTGGACTGCAGGAGAGCAGACTTTGTCCTCTTGAGTGATCTGCTGAGTAATATGGGATAAAACCCTGGAGGAACAAGGGGCCCAAGAAAGCTGGTTAATATTCAAGGAACACCTCCTCCAAGTTCAGGATCTATGTGTCCTGATGAAGAGTAAGAGAACACCAGGAGGCCTGCATGGATGAACAAGGAGCTGCTGGACAAGCTGAAACACAAAGAGGAAGCCTACAGAGGGTGGAAGCAAGGACAGGTAGCCCAGGAGGAATACAGAGAAACTGTCCAAGCAGACAGGGATCAGGTTAGGAAGGGCAAAACCCTGATAGAATTAAATCTGCCCAGGGATGTCAAGGGCAACAAGAAAACCTTCTATAGGTACACTGGTGATAAAAGGAAGACTAGGGAAAATATAGACGATTTCCAGAAGGAAACAGGAAACGGTCATCTGTGATATGGAGAAAGCCAAGGTACTCATTGACTATTTGCCTCAGTCTTCACTAGCAAGTGCTCCAGTGACACAACCCGAGATACAGAAAATAAAGGCAGGGACTAAGAGAATGAAGAACTGTCCACTGTAGGAGAAGATCAGGTTCAATACCATCTAAGGAACCTTAAGGTGCACAAGTCCATGGGACCTGATGAGATGGTGTCTGTGGGTCCTGAGGGAACTGGCAGATGATGTGACTAAGCCACTATCTACCATATTTAAGAAGTCATGACAGTCCAGTGAAGTTCCCACTGGCTGAAAAAGGAGAAGCGTAATCCCCATTTTTGAAAAAGGACAAAAAATGATGACCCAGGGAACTACTGGCCAGTTAGTTTCAGCTCTGTGCCTGGCAAGATCATGGAGCTGATCCTCCTGGAAACTACGCTAGGGCACGTGGAAAATAAGGAGGTGATTGGTGACAGCCAACATGGCTTCACTAAGGGCAAATCATGCCTGGCAAATTTGGTGGCCTTCTATGACAGGGTTACAATATTGGTAGATAAGGGAAGAGCAACTGACATTATCCACCTGGACTTGTACAAAGAATCTGACACTGTTCCACATGATGTCCTTGTGCCTAAATTGGAGAGACTGAATTTCACAGATGGACCACTCTGTGGATAAGGAATTGGCTGGATGGTTGCATTCATAAGAGTTGTGGTCAATGGTTCAATGTCCAAGTGGACACCCCTGACAAATTATGTTCCTCAGTATTGGGACCAGTGATGTTTGACATCTGTGTTGGAGACATGGACAGTAGAATTGAGTGCACCCTCAGCAAGCTTGCTGACAAAAATCAAGCTGTGGTCATGGTCAACATGCTGGAGGGAAGGGATGTGCCATCCAGAAGGATCTGGACAGGCTGGAGAGGTGGGCCCATGAAAACCTCATGAAGTTCAACAAAGCCAAGTGCAAGGTCCTGCACATGGGTCAGGGCAATCCCGAGCACAAATACAGGCTGGGTGATGAGTGGATTGAGAGTAGCCCTGAGGAGAAGGACATGGGGTTCTAAGTTGTATTAGAGCCAGCAATGTGCACTCACAGCCCAGAAAGCCAACTGTATCCTTGGCTGCATCAAGAGAAGTGTGGCCAGCAGGTTGAGGGAGATGATTCTGCCCCTCTACTCCACTCTTGTGAGATCCCACCTGGGGTACTGTGTCTAGTTCAAAGGCCCCCCACATAAGGACATGGACCTTCTTGAGTGGGTCCAGAGGAGAGTCATGAAGATGATCAGGGGGATGGAGCACCTTCCTTACAAGGACAATGTGAGAGAGTTGGAGTTGTTTAATCTGGAGAAGAGAAGACTCCAGGGACACCTTATAGCAGCCTTCCAGTACTTAAAGGGGGCTACAGGAAAGATGGGGAGGGACTCTTTATCAGGGAGTTTAGTGATAGGATGAGGGGTAATGGTTTTAAACTGAAAAGGGGTAGATTTGGATTAGATGTAGGAAGAAATTCTTTACAGTGAGGGTGGTGAGACCTTGGTAGAGGTTGCCCAGAGAAGCTGTGGCTGCCCCCTCCATGGAAGGGTTCAAGGCCAGGTTGGACGGGGCTTTGAGCAACCTGGTCTAGTGGAAGGTGTCCCTGTCCATGACAGAGGGGTGGGAACTAGATGATCTCTTGAGATTCCAACCCAACCCCGTTCTATGACTAACAATACAAGTATATCTTTGTCACAGTCTCAAGTGAACTCTGCTGGATGAGAATGGCACTACTCTAGTTAGATACTATTATATCCCTGAGACACTAGTACAACTGATGATAGCTAAACAGATGTCTCAAGTGAAACCAGAAACCAGGACTAAAAGTGAAAACAGATCTTATTACTAGGACTGTGTTTCCTCTCAAAGCAAAAGCCAAGACAGCTAAGCTGAATTCTACTTACTGTGGGACTGATCATATCAGGAGGTGTAGACATATCCCCAAACAAGTCCATTTGGTCAGCTCCCTTGAAGTGAGAAATATTGAAAGAATTGGTATGTGTTAAGAGTTCTTACACAAGCAAGAATCAAGCATTATGCTATTTACTGTAAATTCATCTATAAATACTGCATTTTGGAGTTGTGAACTCCTTAATGGCATCAACATAAAGTTCTAAAATTTAACCTACCAATTTCACTTTTTCAGCTTGATCAGCAGGTAGTGCTTCACCACCATTCTGTAACAGATGGATAACAGTATCAGCAATAACACAAATACCCAAACTTGCCTTAAGCAAGAGACTTGCAGGTTTCAAAGAGAAAGTGATGAAAGAGGTAAGTATGAGGGAGATCACTACTCAGCATTAATTCTGTAGGACCCTTTTATTTCCATTTCAGTGTAACTGGGCATTGATATTGTCTCCATAATTCTGGCAGCGTAAACAAAGTTAGTTGTGTTGCAGCAGCATACCCAGTCAACTGAGGCTGAGCTGGAGTGACTTACCTCAGTCTTACTTGCTTCTTCATTCTAAAGAAGAAAAGAAGGCTTTTAGTACCTAGATATCATGTAGAATATCCAAAGCATTTCCACCTGGGGAGCTTACCAGCTAGAAGGTAAATAAACTGCTAGTACAATTACCAACAAGCTTCAAGTGATTCTGGATTTAGACAGACCTCAGTGTCAAGTCTTACAAAAGCCCAAAAGCCAAGCCAACACTGAAGTGAGCTTTACTTCTATGCAGACTAATACAGCTTCTGTAATTTTACTCACCTTTTTCTTGTTATTTTCTTCCTTCTTCTTTATATTATATATTAGTTGGAAGAGGTCCTTAAGATCAACAACTAGAGGCTCAGCCTGAAAAAGAATGCAGACTTCAGGCCATGTACTACTTCTCCCTGGACTTTCACTGAAGCAAGCTATGCAGCAAGCCAAACTTTCCTAAATGGTGCAACAGTAAGGTTGTGATAACAGGAAAAGCAAGTTTCAAGGACTGTCTAGTCTCTATACAAGAAAGCTTATGCAGAATCTAAGGGTAATGGGGCACAAACAGCTTAGGACTGTTAACTCCACAGGAAAAGCAGATGTATTTAATAAAAAACATTCATTCTTGTAGCACAGGATTTCATAAGTGCATAGCAAGTCCTAATCATTTTTCCTCAAAAGTGCAAAGCTTATCCAAGCTCTCTAGTAGTCTCATGAGGGAAAAAACATTTTACATTTGCCCCTTTTATACCAACTCTAACAATGAACCTAGAGAAAGCTTCTATAGTTAAAACTCCATTTATTTTAAACACGTTGCAAATAGTAATTCAGCAAGGCAAGCAAAAGGTAAGATTATCATCACCTCAAATGTATAGAGGAGCTGTAGGTGGTATCTGTATCAGGATGAAAATCTAGTGTGAAGTAGAAAGGCACTGCATTCCCTGCACACCCATAAACAAGAGTATGTTTTGATTGGTTGCTGAGATGGTGGCAGGTCCAGCTATACCTAATTGGAACTTTTGCTTGAGGCATACAGCAGCTGTGTCAGTGTCTAGAGTAGTACAAGTCCCCCTGTTCCAGCCACTACCTTTCTCAAGCAGGGAATCTGCTGATCAGATCTCACTGTTTATATCTGAGCAGCATACTCTATGAAGGGTTTTAGTCATGCAGCTGCAGCAGAAGCCATTTCAAGAGTTATCACCTTCAAAAAACAATACAGCTGCAGCTGTCTACAGCTGCAGAAGTCCTTACTTCTCAGCTAGGCAAGATTGTGCTAAAACCAACAAGCAGCAAGTAAAGAGCTGTCTACAGCTTGGATAAGCTTATAGGCTGGCAAGCAGCACCCTATGGTGAAAACCTCTGGGAGAACAGACTCCCCTCCAGAGCACACACAGAAGGCTTTTGTACTAATCTACAATTCCAGTGAAGCCAATACAACACAGGACTCTGATAAATTAACAAAAGAGGCTTAGGAGAGGGTGTTACAGCTGTTACTAAAGTAGTAATATGCTCCAGCAAGAAGCCCCTCAGTCCCATCTGTTGTGGGCCTGAAGCTTCCAGCAGGTTCTCCAGGAGGGCAGGCAGGAATGTGTGTAAATTACTAGCTTTGGAGTCTTGGCTCATGAACCCATTATAGTGACTATTATAAAGACATTATCATGACAAGCTAATAAACTATTTAGAAGGCTTCATAATAGTGGTAATTCCAGGTAGCTTGTTTCCAATATTTCTTATGTACAGATTCTCTTCAGAGGCATAAACCCTGCATACAGGATTTCTGCAGGGGGGGAAACCTATCACAGAAGGATCAAAATCTCTCCCAGAAGTAACTCCAGGAGCATCAGACCTGCCATTCGCTAGCCCCCAAAACACTACTGCAATTGTGTAGGTCTGTTTTGAGAGCTGCACAAGACAAAGCATTATGAGAACTGGACTACAGGAGTGCTAACATAATTCCTGTTAATTCTGAGTGAAGCTCTGGCTATTTTACTCAGGAATTAGCATTCTCACTAGCAGGCCACTGTACAGGAAAGCTCAGGATAATAGCTCTGTTCATCTCCATGACTTCCATGGTGCACAGACATGTTAAGCAAGGTTGATCATAGTAAGCAAGGCTACTGGAGTGTTTTTATTCTGGACTACAGAGAAACTGAACAAGGTAAGAGCCACTGGTGATACAGTCAATTCCTACTGCCCTCTAGAAGAGTCTATCCATGTGTGCTGGTATTCCCCTATACACCACAGGGCTACCAGCGAAACACTACACCCTTGTCACATGTTGTTTACACAATAGCATTACTCATAGGAAGTGGGAAAGGGTGTCTGATCCATACCTGTTGTGCTGTTTTTATAGCAAAAAACTGGTGCTGGCCTTCTCCTCCACATATATAGCCAAAGGCACGACTGTCTGTTACATCTCGAGCAATAAAGGAGATTTTGGTTACTGGATGCTCATATTCTATGACCTAGAATTGGGGGGAAAAAAAAAAAAAAATCTATTGGCTTAAATTGCTGGAGGCATAATAGCTGCTATTTTCTGTAGTTAGGATGATTGAGACTGTTAGAAGGCTTCCATTAAAGATTCAGTTTTATCTGCCTTTGACTAACCACAATAGGATGTAGCTATCTTTCTGGCAGAAGGCTTTCAGCATTACAACCCACTTCACAAGCCAATTTTTATATGTAGAAGGGGAGCACAATGCTGTTAAAAAATGTAGTTCAGATTCGTCTAACTGCCTCACTTAATCTCTTAATATGATTCTTAAAGTAAGTCATATCTTACCCCAGTTTTCTCATCTATTATCTTGATACCAGAGAGGGAGATGTTCACCCAGATCTTCTGTTTGTGTTGCCCCTGGGAACGGGCTGCCACTGCAATTCCCTAAAGAGTATCAAAGTATTGATGAGACTTATGTTAGATTGAGCTTTAAATTTTTTCTTTACATTCCTCCTGAGCCTATGGCTGTGACTGTACCAATGCTCGTCTAGTCATTCCTATGCAACTGAACAGTTAGAGCAGCATCCCTCTTGCAATATATCCCTGGCTAGGTTTGAAGTGACACCTCAGAACTAGACTGTGTTTACTCTGTAAATGTTTTAGAGCTTTAAAACTTATCTTAGTTCACAAAACTGTTACAGTAGCAGCATCTTTACCAGCTTTCCTGGCCTGATTGAAGCTATATGGGTGTTCTGCACTCCAGAAGTAATAATCTTTATTGCTGAAGGATCTCATTTACTTACTCTTTGGCTTATCTGCATCTCTTGGTGTTACTATTGTCACAAGATGCCAACTTATGCTTTGATGTCATTGTTAAACTGCAAAGAGCCCCCTTGTCCCCATCCAAAGCCAAAACTCAGTACTTGTGATCACATTCATGCTCTTCGCATGCATACTGCATGCCTGCAAGAGACCCAAAGGAGCATTTCCAAGCTATTAGAGAAATATTGTACTTTGAACAAGGGGTTACAGCTTTAGAAGTAATATCTATCTAGGATGGTGCTGTTACTATGTTACCATCAAGCTGTATTTGAAATTGTGCCAAAGTGACCATTTGATCTGCCTTCTGAAGGCTACCCAGAGTTGGTTCTTACATGCCAGCTCAAGGCCTTACCTTCAGCTTCATCATTGAATCCTGACTCATTTTGTCTCCTCTTGCCTCCGGGACATCATCAATGCCAATCAGTTTAGCTTTGTATCTTACACCATCACCTTTAAATCTGGCCAAGAGAGATTCATCTGTCTTCTCTGGCCCTGGAGACAGAGAAAAGTTTTGGTTGGGTATTTTGTTGTTTATTTGCTATTTTGTTTTGTTTGTTTTGGTTTTGTTTTCTTTTTTAAAAACAGAATCTATGTTGTGACTTCAAGATATTTTTAAAAAAATTACCATATAAATACATATTAAAACTGTCTCTTCAGTATAGCTGACTAACAACCCCTAGCCCTTCCAGTACTGTGTGCAATGCAAGAGTTGATCCTTTAATATCACAGTGCTCTCAGAATCTGGCCCCAGTGCTTAATATTTGGGGACCTCAGAACAATTCTTTGCTACATAAAAGACTAAATATTTACAGGCAACGGCCAAGTAGATGTAAGTACTAAGCAAAACACCAAAAAGAAATTGTGCTCCCCATGGCCATACAGGATGTTCGATAAGCCTTTCAGATGTTAGTCCCTAGTTCTGGTGCAGTCAGATCTCTTCTTGGTGTGCAAGAATCTCCTGGTTCCTGTACTAGAACTTTCTATCAGTACCATCATTTCTACAAGTAGTCCTGGTACTCCTCTCCATGCAATCACTTGGAATTTTATCTAATTTATTACTTCTGCTGTTCACACTACTTCTCAGAACTGCTTGCTTTTCTTCTCTGCATGTTCAGCATACTGAGTGTGCGCCTTCGTATGTATTTCTGTAAGAATTATATTTACATGACCTAATCTAACAGAAAATCTATTATCTGATCTACAATAATTCTAATGTTTTCTAGCTTCTCTGGACTAGAATCTGTATTTGTGTCCAGAACATTCATCCCTCTAGCGGGAGGAGAAGCAGCAAGTTCAGGTTCCTGGATGGTCCTGGGTCTGATCACCTCCTCAGGAAGCTTTTAATTCTCTGGGCTTCTGGTGATTTGTCAGGCTCAGTAAATGATTCATTTAACAAGTAGAACTGCACTTTAGAACTCAAGGATAGAAAAAACCTTTCAAGCTAAACCTAACCAGAAGGTAAGCTTTTATTTTACTAGCTTATTTATTCATTTTTCCAGTCAGCTTGAAGCCTCAGTTACTTTAATCATGCTGTGAAAATGATCTTAGTTTTAGGCAAGTGCAAAAGATTAAGGACGCTGAACTAGAAGAGGTGTTCAAGAAGTAAACATTTCTTACCTTTCTTTTTTTCCTTCTTTGAATGTTGTGCTTTTGGTGGAGCCTGCTGTTCAGGCTGACTGTTGACAGTAGTAGCTTCAGCTTCAGTAGACATGGTGAGATGGTGGTCAGCTATGATTGCTGTAGTTTTTAAAAATACAAGTAACAGTCAGTAGGTAGACATATTTTACCTTGAAGAAGAAATATTCTTATTAGACCTGTTAGTCCTGCTGAGCACTGAAGCCCACTAATGTCTGAAAGTTTTAACAGAGATCATATAGGAAGTTTGACTCACTGTCTATTCACCTCAGGTCACAGAGAACATGAAGTTATGGCTACTACGTGATGAACTCTCACCTCAGTAATACCTAATCAGTAGATCACACTGACCTACCTTCACAGGCTGTACTTGCATCATCCTGTTTTAATCTGTCAACCTTTAGCTTTTTACCCTTTAAAGCTATTTAGAGAAACTCAGATATTTTGCTTTGTTCTCCTCCAGTCCTGCCAGCTGCATCTCTGTAGTAGGATAGGAGAGAATGCAAGAAACATTTGCTAGGATCTGTTCCAAACACCCATGAAGATGATGCCAGAACAGCCAAACGCAGCCACCAGATCTTATTCATCTTTCTATAACCAGTGGAAGTCTGAGGTTATACCACCCAACAGCTAAAAGCAAATACATTCCTTAGGTCGCAGACAGACTGTTCCAGGAAAAAAAAACAAACAATCAAAAAACAAACAAACAAACACAAACAACAACAACAACACAACACAACACAAAAAACCCAAAAACACACACAACAAAACCAAAACTCCACACGCTTCTCTTGGTAACAATCAAGCAACCTTAGTGGTTTGGGTTTTTTTTTAAAAAAAACAAACACCACCACCACCACCACAAAAACCATGCAAGTTAATAGAAGTTATGGGACTGGTATGACTTATGTCATGAGACCCTTCTGCCTCTAAAATACAAGATACAGTAAAAAAATAATCTGTAGTCCCTGTTTTTTATTCCTACATACCTGAAGCATTGATTCATACTTACCAAACAGGGAATCATATTGTCTTTATGAAATTTTGTATACTCAGCCAGAAAGAACTGGACATTCATATCTGCTATAGAAACTGTTCTATGAATCTTCTGTCTGGGGTATTGCAGTGGCTTCAATTAGCCCCTTGAATTTTAGGGTGGCAAATGAAACCAAGAGATTGTTTAGATGATTAAGCACCTGGGCTACCCTCTACTAGTAATTTTTCCCATATCCAGGCAATCAGCTATAAACCAAGCTGCCCCTTTTGTCCAGCACATTGTGTGAGACATCTATGTACCCAGCTACAAGTGCTGAAGCATTGCATATCCTCTAGCATTAGAAGCTTGTAATTCCCAATAGCCTATTTCTCATTTTCCTTAGTTACAGATAATGCTTTTTGTGTTACCTGGAAGTTACTTTCAGGATTTTGCTCTCACTCCTGCCTTTTCCCTCAATTCATTACCAAACCAATAACTACAGACTGACTCATCCAACTTGCCACTAAGAGTAATGGATATCAATGCCTAACTGGTTCTTATCCACAAATTCCTAGGCCTTTAAAAGGGAATTCCACCCTGAAGGCCCCCATTTCAATTTAGTCAGGAAGGAGGCATTTAGGGAAGTAGCTGTTAATATAAGCAAACTTAGATCTAGCTGCTTACCAGATGGTTTGTGAATCCCATTTAGCATTGCTCAAGTAAATCAGAGATAAAAGTGCTCATATGGGAAAGATCTCTGGCAGCTATACCTGTTCTCTGCAAGCTGAGAAATTACCTGGCTACAGCTAGGGAACATTTGATGCAAGACAGCAAAGATGTTGACGTGAAAATTTCAAGTAGCTCCAAGTAGAAATAGATGTTAGAGGAAAAGCAGATATAGCAAACCATGGTTATTTCCTAAACATCACAAAAGAGTGGCTTGTGTGCTCAGTCTGACAAAGTAGCAAGTGGGAAACTAATACAGCCAACAGGGATTTTGCAAGCTACTTGCACCAGTGCTGAAAAGGAGTGTGACTATCAGAAACCACAAATCAATCCAGTAAAGTGAAGCCAACTAAATTCTACTCTAAAACTGGACTAGCTTGCCTATTCGTATAGTTTTGGGCCAAGGAAGTCTTAGACTTTAGTGTAATGAGCCTCTCCCTGGATTTATCAAGTCCTGCAAAAATAAAGAGAAAGGAAAGACAGAGTTAAGGTTGAATCATTAGTTAACCACTAAGCCCCATCTGGAAAGTTACTGTTTAGTGAACAGAAGGAAAAGACAGACCTGGAGAACAGAGCTAAGACATGCTCTGTAGGAGCCGAGTCATAACTTTAGGAATTTTCTGCCCTGCTCTATGTTGCAAAGAATAAATAACAGTCTCGAGACACTGAGTCTTGCCTGTCAGTAATACTGCTTCTCCAATTTGATTTGTAGAGCTACAAACACCTCTGCTGTTATACAACCACTTACTCTGTTATATAGAATAAGTATCTCACTCTGAAGTAAAGAGTCAATAACAAGTAAAAAAACCTAGGGAGGAAAAAATATGCACAAGCAAAGCTTCACTTTGGTAACTGTAAAGTGGTAGAAAACCAGATGGACAGTTGCCATGTTTAAACCCTAGCTGTGATCCCACTGTTGCCATCTCCCCCCATTCTATGGAAGCCAGACAGCACAAAGCCCCAGGGTGGGGAAAGATGAGCCAGGATACAGCCAAGACTGGCTGAACCCTGGCAAACACTCCCTATCTTACTGTGGAGAAGTTCATTCTCAGTGTTAACAATACAACTTGAGAAGGTTAGTGAGGGCTTTCTGACCAGCTTGTAGGACATACTCTCCTATCTGAGGTCTGGCACAGTGCATCTCACCTAGTGAGAGTTCACACTACATGATGTTTATTGATCACACCTTTAGAGAACTCGAGGTTTTTGAGAATCCTATCTCTAGAGCAAGGGAATTAGGACAGCTAAGAATGAAAGGATAGACAAATGCTGCCTTAATACATGTTCATACTTTAAATAACTACTTCCTGACATCTTAAATAAGCCACAAGACTATTACAAAATTGCCTCAGGCTTTACCTTGACGTTTCTCTGGGGTGGGGAGCAACACTGTGTAGCTAAAGCTAGCAGTAATTTAGTCTACTTTCAATACAAGAGTCTCAAACAATTATGTTTGTATTCTGTGATTTAGACCCAAGTTAAACCCATGCAAGGTCTTTGTCACACTCAAGTTTGGCTTATCATAATGGAAAGTGCTTGTGTGCCTTGCATGCATGTAACTAAAATGAAGCTAAAAACTTTTCTTTGTAGTTCTTGCTCTTACTCTGAAGGCTTCCTTTCACAGTACACAGTCCCTTAGTACTTCCTTACTTAGACTGCAGGAGTAGGGTAACAAGAGACTGGAATTATTCTATTACACTTGAATTCTGAGTTAATCTGAAAAAAAACAGCCAGAAGTATGGCAGAGTTAGAGATGCATGTGCTTTTATGCAAGGACAGGCATGCCTTCAGTTATACTGACTTAGTGAAGAACAAGATCATTCCCACAGCAGCTATGTCAGCAGACTGTTATGTGATGCCTTTTGAATCTTCTCCATGTAGATATGTCCACTGGTATCACCACAGCTTAATTACTCACTATACAATTGTATGATCCATTTTAACCACTGTGATAAATGCACCATTTCAAGAGTCTTAGACTGCAGATTTATGGATGTTGCTACTCTGCAAGAAGTGCCCCAAGCTCTTGCCTGTATCATAGATACACACCATATTTTACCCACCCACTTTTCAATTCTTCAAAATTTTTCAAAAGGGCTTGCTAAGAGACCACTAATAGTATCTTTCTCCTTTCTTATAGGAACTATGCTGTGAAGAGCAAGTACTGATCACCTTAAGGAAAGGCCATTTCAGGCCCTCAACACACAGGCCTTGAAAGATGAGTCATTACCTACTCTCAAGTCAGGCAACTCTTCATTCAGCATTGTACTATTTTCACACATCTACCCTGGGAAAGTCAGTCTTAAGACTTGGGGAATACTGTGCTCTTGGTGTCTTCTCTGAACTCCCTACAAGGACAGCTGTAGGTAGGACAGCTGTACGTAGTCATGCTTGAAATACCCGTTTCTTAGCAAGACTTGAAGCACATGCCACACAATTTTGTTGAGCAACATTTAGGTTCCCTTAAGAGATGCTTTCCAAGTTATCCCCTATTTGAGCAAGGAGTGGCAACATGGTCGCTCCCTTAATGATTATAATATTTTTGCCCTGTGCACAAGCGATTGAGAATCTGCACTATGCCTTGTAGTCTGTCAAAGAATTTAAAGCCTGGACAATAATCCTCACCCAACAGAAAGGCTTTTCCCCCTGGTAGAGAAAGATAATTCCCTTAATATTGATGAAAGCTTGTCTGAGAAGAGGTACACTGAAAATGTCAGAGGCAAGGCAGATAAACTAAACATCTGCTCAGCAGTCTAATACCTTGTTCTAATACCAGTCTAATACCTTTTCACAGCCTATGCTCCTTATTTGTCCCTTTATACTACATGATTCAGCTTAAAGAGTTATTTTATGTGAATATTAACTTCAAATTAGCATCTGAGAGACCAGGAGAGGACAAGGGAAGCATTTACTGCCAAGTGCAATACAGCCTGTTAGGGATGAAGTAGTAACCAGAAGCGCAGCAATAGTTCAAGTGCTAAACATGCTTCCAAGGCAGGTTGTTGCCTCCCCCACACCTTGAAGAGTTAGTCAAGTTATTCTGTTTAGAAGGTTGTATTAAGACCTGCACAATGTATTCTTAGAAATCCCTAGCCATCAAGTTCTTGACAAGAGCGTTATTTTCAGAAGGCTGGTAAACAAGTTATCCACTTGAGTAAATTCAAGACTTCAGTGTTGCAGGCTAAGGAAATAGATTAGAGGCTAAACAGCAATACACACAATGGCTAGCAGGAGTCAAAGTTGTAAAGCCAGATTCAATTACTAATAATTGACTATCTTGACTAGCAACATCCTACCCACATTATAATAGTGCATTTGTGTGAACCTCTGTATGACTAACTTACATTTGCATCTAACAAATCCCTATGCACATAACTGACTGTCACATTTTCTGCCTAGT